TCTCCTTTTACCTGCTCTGCCTTTGCCCTGTCTCTGATGTTGGCAGGGTGAGCAGAGCCCCTGGAACCTGGCTGTGGCTGAGGGTTAACAAGCTGTGTGTCCTGGCACTGCCCTGTGCCACCACACTGCTCTGGGTGCCGTGCACCTCGTGCCCAGCTGCTAGGAACGGAGCGCACTGCCTGAAGAATGGGTGCTGGTATCCCTGGGGAAGCAGATCCACACTGTCAAATTCCCACTGGTTTTGGCTCAATGAGTCCAGTGACTGCCCCCCAGGCAGTCAGGCCCTTGGAGAAACATGAGAGATGTTTTATTCCTGCTCAATGGCTTGCAAACACTTGACCTCTCCCACAAATACCACTTGTGCTGCCTAGAGGCAAAATATTGCAGGCAGCATTTCACAGAAATTATGTTTCCCTATTAGATGAACACCACTACTGTCTCCTTGCCTGTTACTTGCCTCTGACATACAGCACATATTGCTTGAGCTGCTCAGGGTTTAGAGTTAGGAGCTCCTGCTGTGAGCTCCATCCATCCCCTCCTACCCTCTCACTCTCTCTTCTCAAGCACTGCTGCCTGCTGCCTCCTTCTCAGCTGTTACTTAACGACCTGCCAGCTGAGCTGCCCAAGGAGACTGATTAAATGTTAACACTACAATATTTTCTAGCCCTTAAGGGCTCTGATCCTGCAGTTTTCATTTACACAGAAGCAGAAGAAGTAGTCATGAATTTGGGGGGCTGTGGGAAGGAGCCCACCCGTGGGAGGGAGCCCACTGTGTGCCGTGCCCTGCTTTCATTGCAGTGCACGGAGCAGCCTTGGGCTGCTGCGAGTCAGACCCTCAAAGAGAGAGCTCAAGTGAGTTATTTCAAAGGTGGGTCAGGCTGTGCAGTCAGGCTGTGGTCAAGTGCTGAAAGATGAAATGATAACAGAGGATTATAAAGTAAGGCTATAGGGTATGTTAGAGTACAGGATGCATATTTCTATAAGTACAAAATAGAAAGGGTAAAGAGGTTGTGAGGAAGCAGCAGGGAAGAGTTGAGCCCATGCATGTGAGGGGGGGAAGCACTTGCATACTCACTCTTGTTCCTTTTTGTCACATCATTTATTCATCATAAAGTGCTCTTTAGCATCTGTCTTTTTGGGTTGGGGGAATTCTTATGCAGCATCTTCAAAGCATTTCAGTAATGCTCATTTCCATCTGAAGGGCAACAAAGAATTTTAGGTGGGCGCAACACTGCACACCATGTGCCCACTTAGGGCACATGGGAAGACCCTTGAAGGAAAGACCCTTGTTCATGCTTTGCCCTTATGTTTCCCAGAGCATCATTTCACCTATGTCCCAGAAGTGCATCCCCCACTGACCCCTGCCTGTACCATGTGCCTGCAGAACAGCCTGCTGCCCACATGGCCAGGACTACATATCAGCTGAGGCAACCAGGCTTTGCTCCAGCATTCAACACCTGGATTTGCAGCTCCATGCCTGTGCCCTGGGACAGTGACCCTATGCAAAGGACATCCAACGTGACCGGCAGAGCTTCTGTTGCATCCTCCATCACAGTTCTCATTCCTCCCTTTGCACAAACTCACATACAGGGGCCTGCAAACTATTGCAGGCAATGCATCTCTCTGCCTGACATCTGATTTATTATCTCGTAACCCCAACTAGAAGGTGGTCCTTTTCCAGTCCCCATCTCGGACCCATCTGACACAGGGTGCTGGTCTCTGTAGCACTGTGTGCCCTCTCCTTCTGCCTGCCTTCACACGGCTTCAAGGACACAAGCACCTTCTTGCCCCTCTCCAGGAAAGCTGTGGCTACTGACACATGGGCCAGCACCTCATGTGTAAATGTCTTCCTTCAATTTCCCTCTTTCTGAGACGGAATCATACTTCACTGCCAGCAGTCATATCCTGCACCATCATGGGCTCTCTTTTTGACTCCAAGAAGCAACTTCATGGCACACATATACACCCCTGCAAAAACTTCCTAATCCTAATGTTATCCTAATCCTCAGAAAACAGACCGGATTTGGGAATAAAGACCAAGATGTCACTGACCCAAAGGCCTGGGCAGAATCATAGAAGAGTTTGGGTTGGAAGGGACCGCTAAAGGAAACCTAGTTTAACCCTCTGCAATGAGAATTCCCCCACATCCCCATATTGCACAGGAGAGCATAAACTGTGACACCAGGATTTGCCAATGGTCTCCTTTCTTGTTTCTTCAGCAGCGACCTATTTATGAAGCTACAGAAAACACAAAAAACTGCCTCCAAATAAACAAATCCACACTGGAATGCACTGGGGAAAGTAGAACATATCTGTATGACATATGGATACCTTTCTTCCTGATCCCAGCTGTCAATTACTTTATGGAGATTAAAACACATCAAGCTTTGATAATTATAAGACTATGAAGGAATTTGGGAAAATAACTCTATATAATACTTTATAGACTTATAAAATGTATTTATTGGCTGAAATGTTCATCAATAAAACTTATAGATTGGTGTTAATTACAAGAAATTGCCTAATCTTTGTGCAAGTTTTTATTTAAGTATTAAGCTTTATGTTTCACCTTCTAAATATTCATGTGACTTTTCTGCCCTCAGTGGATCTGAATCACTGTCAACCACAGGGAAGGAAAGCAAGAAGATGAAAGAACATCCAGTGTGGAGTTCTCCTGTTAAAAAATTAAAAAAGACATAAAACGCACTATAAAATTTTGCAAAACAGTTTTCACAGAATTTACTAGTTTCCCTCAGAGAAGAGCTTCCATCTTAATAAGATTCCACAAACTAGTGGCATGGTATGGACCCAAAATGTGGTCAAAAGCCATCCAATTCAGTGAGATATTTTCCCCCTGGACTGAAAAAAGTTCATGAACTTGCATACATGTCCTCCTAGCACGTGTGCTGACCTCTGAAATGTGAAATGGGCTGGAGCTGACAGAGTGGATGAATCCCTGTCCCTCTCCTGCCCAGTCCCTGTGCTTTCCCCAGAGAGGCTGGCTGTGGCACAGGGGCTCCTGACACCTTCTGCAAGCAAATCTCATTATCTTGTCATCCTGGAGGATGGCCACCAGCCATCAGCTAGCCAGAGGGGCCTCCCTCTCTGAGATCGCACTTGCCAACTCTGCTCCCAGAGTCAGGGGACAAATGAAAAATGCAGCAACAGCAAATAACTCCTACAATCTACAGAGGTGGCAAATACATCAAAAGCATTTTGATATTGAACCCTCACTTAAAATCAATGATCCAAACAGGGCTCAACCTGTTATTTATTAAGGGCTAAGGGAAAACTTAGTATTTTGGAATTCATTCACACATGAGTTGGATGGACTTTATGAGTAGCTGCTCTATGCAGCACTTTCCTGCATCATGCATTATTAAAATCCTGCAACTGGAGGAACAAAGATGAATGGGGCTTGCTCACCCATCCTTGTCCAGCACTACGCCAGGATGGGTGACCTCCTGACCTCCACACTTTTACCCACACAAAGTTCCCAGCCCCCTGTCCTGGCCTCTCTTGGGTGAAATCCCAGAGTTTTTCTCCTTATCCTTTTGCACTTAATTACTGATATGAAAGGAGAGAGGTAATCCTCGCCTTCATCCAGATTTCAGTCCCAGAGGGGGGCTGAGGAAAGGTCAGAAGGAGGCCAGGAGCATTCAAAGTACAGGTGGTGTTTTTCCCTGACTCCTGCTTTGATGAAAGCCTTCAGCCCCAGAGATAAGCATGCAGACCTGCCTGTTGGAAAGAGGAGCTTGTCAGGAGGCATTTCTCCTTGCAAACATGGCCCAGTCCTGGGGTGACCTGTCCTGGCTCCTGCTTTTCCTGCTGCTTGCACAGGACACTGCTGTGTCAGCATCCTGCAAAGAGGTCATGAGACATACAGCCTTCATCTACAGGTTTTATTTGTGCAATCAGCAAGGTGCCAGGGCTGGGAAGTCAGTCATGGGAGCTGTGTATTTCCTGTAATTGGGCTGCTATACTGCAGCCCAGCAAAGCCACAGTGATGCTCCCAACTGCTGGGTAAGATCCACATCCACACGTGCTGAGTGAAATATTTTGGAAGTCCTTTAGGGAACACTGGTGGTGTCACTTCTGCTTTGCAGACCTCGGGTGTCAATATGAAAAACTAGTCTAGGAAATGGTTAGGAAAAGCCTTGAGCTTTAAAAGCACCACACAAATAATGCACAATGTAAAATAAATGCCAGTCCAAGAAGAGTGTCCCACTGGTGAAAAGTCATGCCCAACATTGAACAGATCAACAAAAACACGGCAGGAATAAGCCCTGTTCCAGTTAATTGAGCCATATCGGTCCTTCATTTTTCTGTATTGAAGATACCTTTTGATTCTGAGTTGGTTCCTTCCTGTTTTGGGAATTCTCATGGCTTGGAGAGTGTGTGTGTGCCTATCATTTAGGGCTGTCATCTCTGAGCTCTGTTTCTAGGTCTCGCCACAGTGCTGAGGGCTCTACACCACCTGCAGTGCTGGCACTCAGTTGTCTCAGACAAAACAAGCCTGAGCCAGGAACTTGTTTGGCAAATACTACTCAAGCCCAAGGGCTTGTTCTGGGCCGTCCCTGTGCCTCTGTGAGCATTTTGTCCCAACCCTCCTCACCACCAGTTAGACCTTCAGTACAGTTTCACATTTTCTGGGGTGCTTCAGCACTGACACACCTTTTGTGAAGTCCTTCCAGCTGGGGTGGAAGGGGTGGTCTGCAATTTGTACTGAGGAATGGTGTACTTTTGGAGTATTCTTCCACTCTCTGCTGTTTCTGTGCACTTGCAGAGAGGTGAAACTGGTGTCCCACAGTTTGCTGGAAGCATTTCTGCCTTTCCAGGCTGTCTGCCTGCAGGTGCCTGTCACAGAGATGCACATGTTGCATCTTGTGCAGCAGGTCACCATTTTGTCACTTCATTGAAAAAATGACAAAATAGTATCTGGAAGGGCACTGGAGGCAGAATTTGTTCATGATGGCTTGAAGTACTTATTTTGCCATCCACCAGGTTCTCGTACACTAAAGAGATGCAGAGCTAAAAATAAACACATGGTCCATTAACGCTGAAGTACCTTGAAGCAATTGCCTGGGGGAAAAAGACAGGAGAAATTGGTAGAGTCTGAAAAAATAATTAATGGTGAACAGAGGCTGAAAGAAAAACATGGATGAGGTGGGAATTACAGTAAAAGTCTTTTCCCGGGGGAACTCTGCTCTTTGCATGCAGAAACTCACTTGCATCTCCCATGCAGGGGCTTGCAGCAGGACTGGTTGTTTTTGCAGCCAAGGGTTTTCTGGAGAAAGAGTTCATCTTTGCTCTTTGGATTTGAGAGTGGAGACTTGCCGGCATTTTTATTGCCAGACTGGCTTTCTGTGCCCTTAGCCTGACCACACACCTGTGACATAAGGAAACTGGTGATGTTCATTGCATGGAGAGGGAGCAGCAGGAGGGTGGGCCCTGACTCCCTCTCAAGGGCACAGAGGAAACCTGTGGGTGTCCGGGAGCCTAAAGCACGAATCTGTGTTGGGCTTATTGACAAAACCTGCAGAAACCAAACACGTTATGAAAAACAGGCCTTTTTACCCTTTTTAAAATGTGGGTGGAATATCTTTTGGATCAGCTGTGTTTCTTACAGGGTCGAAAGCTGTGTGAATCACACAGCTGCAGTGGCTCTTTGCATATGAGCTTGGACTCAGCTGTTGGACAATTCCTCCCATGCCAGCTTTGGCCCCTGCCCTTCCTCATTCTAGTAAGGTGCTGGGAGTGCCTCCACCTTCCTCCATGCCCACCCACCACACCCACACACCCACACCCACCCATGGAGCTGTTCTCAGCTCCCACTGCTCGGACATTTGGCTCTGCCCACCATCCCTTTGGAGAAAGCGTGGCCCAGGCTGGAGGAGAAGCTGGGGACAACAGATACAGTTAATGGCTGTGCAAACTCATGGAGATGCATCTCTTGGGCACTGCATCCCTCCAGTGCACAAGGAGGAGGCATGAGATGAAATCTTTAATCCCTCAGGCTCTCTGTGCCATCTACATACCAACGTGGCTATTGATACCTGATGATCTCACCTCCAGATATTGAGCGGTATTTGCAAGGGGCTCCCAAGTGCCTGTCTGGAGCACCATGCAGAATCATGTTGTTCTGTGCCCACACAGCCCTGAAACAGGGAAGGGAGTGATGCTGGACTTGGATCCCTAACACTTCATTCAACACAGGTAAAAGCACTAAGGAGAAACAGGCCGTTCAAATTTTAAAAATAGCTTTTTGTAAAAGTGTAACAATTTCCTTTCTCTCTCTCTTTTTTTTTTTTTTTTTTTTTTTAATTAAAATGAAAGTTTAATTACATCTGAGTAACTCAAGGCAATTTTCAAGAAGCTGGGGAGTTTTGTTCACTGTTTTTGAAGTGTTCAAGGTTCAGCATCTCACTCTTAAATTTATCTGGTTTCTAGTGAAAAATAATTTATGGCTACAACCATTTGATTAAATGATGCTCTGGAGAACTTACCTGCAACCAGTCCTGAAAGAGGTGTCTTGTAAGGTTAATTTTCCACAAATCCCACAGTGATTATCACTCATCCAACAACTGAAGTGCCTGCAACAGAATAAAGTAAATGGAAAAGCCTACACTTTATGCAGTTAGTAGAATTTTGAGTATTGCTAATTTTTCTAATTGGCTTCTCTCTCCAGAGAAGAGGGAAAGAAACACCACTAGGACCACTGATGCTTCTCCAGAATTGCACAATCTTGGCTTTTGTACCAGCCATAGAATCTAGGGAATGTTTTTAAACCCTGTCAAATAGATAGTGACCTTTTCTTTCTTGCAGCTTGATGGGTATTCCCCAAAAAATAAACTCGGTTTGATTTCTTGACATTTCTTCTGCTGTATGCCCAGGTTACCCAAAGGCCGTATCTATGTGGCAGAGAAAGAAGGGAGAAAACAAACCAGCTTCTCAGGCTCTGAGGCTTTGCATTAACCCAGCTTGGAATGACAGTGGCCTCTCTCCTGCACTCCTTCTTTGCTTTCTGAAATTAAATTCCTACAGACTTTTGGCTTTGTTTTGGCCTAGTTTTCCTTGCTCTTTCAGGCCTTGATTTCACTATGAGTCTTTATTTTCACTGACTTGAAACTGGAAGAAAATCAAACCGTATGCTCAGACCAGAATGCAGGAATCCTTCCCTCTGTTTAAGAAAGGCTTCCTATTTCTATTCATGGTGTTGGAAGTGATTATTTGCTAGGGATAAAAAGACTTGACTTTTGACATAAATGTAAATACTCATTTCTCAGACTGTAACACCCCCTTCATTTAATACAGGTGCAAAAGATGTTTTACCCAGGGGAAATTACCCAATAATAGTAGTGTCCAGGTTTCTTGCAGGCAGCTGTTCTAGGCTGCTTTTAGAGAGAGGATACAGAGAGAGGATATAGAGGGAGTGCCAGCTCAGTATTGCCACTCTTCTGCTTCTTGCTAAAGTCTGCTGATTTTTACTCTGTCTTCTGTATATTTCCTTTTTATTTCAAAGCAGGTGTATGTAGGTAAACATGGCATGCCAGCAGGACTTCCACTCTTTTCCATCCATTTTCCAACCCAAATCCCAAACTGTCAAAAAGTTGCCTTTAGCAACATTTACTCTGCCATGGCAAGGAACAGCTAGATGGAAATAACACTGAGGCAGATGCCAGGGAAACCCAGCCAAAATCCATCTCTCCTAACCACATGGCTGGGCTCTCAGGACAGGCAGGAAGCAGATGTATTGCCTGTCAGTGGAAATGGGGCTGCAGGTGTGCTCATGAGCCCGAGCATGGCGCTGACAGCAACACCACCACTCTGTGGGAATATCTACCAGAGACAGGGACAGCTGCACCAGAGCAGTACCATGAGCTGTACCATCACTCAGCAGTACCAGCAGGCAGGCAGCATGGCAAACTGCATCTCTTGTTTTCCTCACCACACAACATGAATTAGTCACATTTTTCTGGGTCTTCTGCAGGTAATCTTAAAAATATTTTCGCAGCCAATACTTGTTAAATTATGCATGGTGTTTACTTTCACTCCTCTGCAGTTCTGCCATCTTTCATGAATATGAAAAGGAGAGCTCCAGAGAGCTGTCTTCCTTTTGATGGCAAAATTTTCCAGGGTGTTCAGTCTGGTTATACAGTTCTCTACTTGTGCTGTTGCTGACGTTTACTTGAGCAGGATTTCTTCAGTGAGTGGGAATCACCTGCCTGAATACAGGACAGGCCAGCACTGCCTGAAGATCACTGTAGATGCCTGAACCACCTCGAAACACCTCAAACAACATAACAGAATCCAACAAAATTAATGTTGAAGCCTCAAAATAATGGCAAGGGTTAGGTGTAACGAGTAATAGCTGTCTGCTATGGGACAGAGCTGGTGCTTCAGAGACGTTGAAGGAAGGGGCACAATCACAGTCAGAAATATGAAACCTGTAATATACTTTCTTCTCTTTTCCAAGAAAAAACACCTATGGCTTTGCCTTGGAAGCACTGGTACATCTTCAGGCCCTGGTCCTCAATATACAAGCTCCATGTTCTCAAATGTACTTGTTCAGGGAAATGTGGGACAGTGAATTTCCCATCTCTGAAAGTGTTCAAGGTCAGGTTGGATGGGGCTTTGAGTAACCTGGTCTAGTGAAAGTTATCCCTGCCCAGATGGTTTTTAATGTTCTTTCCAACCCAAACCACTTGATGATTCCAGGATTCTATGATTCTGTGCACAAACAGGTAGCATCAGCCTGGGAATGTACACAGCATCGTCCTGCTTTGCAAAACAGGCCTTCAATCACTTATGGGGCATGACTGAAACAGCAGCTGGATTTCCTACTGCTGGTGCAAAACCACGAGAGCGGATGTTAAAATCTTGCTTTTTCTCAGTTGTTGCCATACTGAAATTAAGAATGTGTCAGTCAAAATGAGGTCTAAAATCTGCAGCTGGGATTCTCACAAGTACTCAGAGCCAGCTTACTCAAATTAGATCAGGGTTAGAAATCCCTAATTGTCATATATTTTCTGGAAAAAGAAAAGCAGTTTTCTAAAAGCAAGTGCACAAACTCCACAATAATTAAAATCCTTGTCATTTTTTTTTCAAGAAACTCTCTGAAAGAAGCTTTCAGCAAAAATACTTATTCTTAAACAAAAAAATACTTATTCTTAAACAAGAATAAGTATTTAAATTGATACTTGCAGTTCAAAATTCAAACACAGAGTTCACCCCTCGAACTATTTAGAGATCCTGAACAAAAATAAAACTAAGTAAATAACACCCTCCCGAAAAGTAAATAAACCAGCAATATATGGAGAGGAATCTGTCTGTTTAGCAAAACTTTCCCACAGTCAGCTGGGCTGCCAGGACTCGGCTGAGCCTGCTGATGGCAGGCAGGGTGGGAGCAGATGTAGATGTCTAGCGACAGAGTGAAACAGGCACTTCCAGGACATGGTATGCCTTACCCCAAAGTAGCTGTCTAAAATAGATCAGACACACTGCAGCTCCCAAAATACCTGCTCCTTTTCAACTTTGGAGCAAGCCTGGGTGGCAGGCTCTGATGAAGGAGTCTGGATGATGTAGGTGTAGTCCTAAAAGGCAGGTGGGGCAGATTCCAGACAGGAACAAGGTGGCTCTTCATATCCAATCCACTGCAGTGACGTGTGGCTGTACCAGAAACAGGACAAACTCCACACCAAAGCAGGGGAGGGTTTGCTGTGCTGCTCTGTTTTATGTTTGGTCTCAATGTATTGATAATCTTTAACATTTATGATATCAATAATTCATAGTATCAAACTGTTATAATGCCTTAAGTTAGCCACTGTCTCATATTTCCCTGCCTCTGGAAATACGTCCCCAAGGACCATTTGAGGCATCACACTGCCAGCACATAGTCTCTCTGAGTTTGGCTTCTGTACCCAAGTGTTTCTCCTCCCCTGCAGTTTCCAGCTGATGCGCTCTGAGTTTACCATCTTATTAATCCCCTGGTGCCTGTTCCTCCACCTTGCTTTGCTAGATACAATTTGATTCCTGCCACTTCAGCCCTCTGGATATCTGATTACCACCCCACCATCTGCCCCTGGACCAACAAAACCTCATATGTTTTTGTTGACACCAAATTTAATTGGCACCCTCACATACTGAGGTGATAACTGAAGGGCTGACCCCAGAACACGTTTTAAAGAAGCTGCTGGATTCTTTTTCCCAAACTTTAGCTTAAAAGTAATCTAGTCCTTAGACAGCCCCTGCAAATTATGCCTTGTCATACTCAAAGAATAATTTTATATATTTTTTTTTAAAAAACAAATTCCATATAAATGACCTCAGTATTATGTAGGATTATAACAGTAAAATTCTATATTTGTTGTATGTATTAATGCATTGAAACAGGTATTTTCCTATAGAAATCTTTCGGTATTGCAGTATGACACAAAAGTATTGTGGTACTGATTGCTAACATCTTGCCAACCATCTCAGTATATTGAGATCATAATTATTTACCGTTCAGCCTCCATAGCAACACTCAATGTAAATATATTTCCTAATATTCTTATAAATGGAGATTAAGGCTTTGCACACTCCAGCTGCGAACATGCCAGGAAAAGAAACAGGGACTCCATCTGCTATTGTGTTTGTTCAGTTGTCTGAAAAAAATCAAAAACCAATTTAAAGGAGTATTGCATTAAAGAAAACGGATTTTATTCTTTGAAAAATTCAAGGTTTTGTTCAGCTTCTGGTGCTTTCCTAGTCCATTTAGAGCTGCTGCTGGGCAGGATAACAGCGTCAATTTCTCTGGTTTTGCTGCTTTGTCCGAGCACATGAATTGTCAGGATGGGTGTGGTACTGTCAGGTTTCTGTCCGGGGTGTCCCCTGCAATGGCACACGTACCCCGCAGAGCCAGGCACTGCCAGGGCTCAGCAGCAGCTGCTCCCAGCAGCCAAGGCAGCCCCGCAGAAATGCTGAATGAGCAGGGGAGCTGGGCACTGGGAGTGCACTGGGAACAAACACCCATCCATCATCCTTTAGGTCCAGCAAGGAGCGCCAGGCTCGCTGCTTCCTTGTTTCTGTATTCTGCCCTCAGTGTTTAACAAACAGCAGCATCACATTAAGATGTTTTATAAACTTTCCCAGCCCACCAGCACTATGTGAGTATTGGCTCCTTTGTGGAGGTGGCAGGAGGCTGTACTTTCAGTGAGTTTCCCTGCGACTTGTGTCAGGAGCTGGGAACTTCCTGCACTAGGGAAACAGAAGAATGCGAAAGAGAAATTAGCTTCTAGCTAAGTGGTATGCTACTGGGCCCTGTTTCTCTTCTCCTTCCCAGCAGCTCTGTGCCAGGTTAACCCTTGCAGGCTCACATGAGATACTCCTGATGCAAAGGGGTATAAAGGAGCTCACAAGTAAGTTCTTGTTTCTCTCTCCTCTGATCTGTTTGCATAATAAAGCAAGTGCTTGGTTCTGCAATGTGAGCAGTACCTGTGTACTTCCTAAAAGCAATTAAGAACCCAATTTAAGAATCATCAAGCAGGCTCTGCCAATCCCCAGGAGGCAATGATATTTAAGCATGTAAAGGCAAGATAGTTGCTTCCTCGTCA